TAGAACTTGTTAAACTTGTCTCCGTAAACTTCGCAACGTATATTAGCCATTTATCTTACTGCACACATTTTTGTTCCCTTCCAATAAACCACCACAAAAAAAACAATAAAAGAGCTGCAGTTAAGAAACCTTACGGCGGGATTTGCTTCAGCCTAAGGTCTACTACACGTGTGCAGTTAGAAAAAATAAACAAAAAAATTTCAAAAGTTTCGCTTACGCTACGTACATTTGGACACCCATGTTCTTTATTAAAGTTTGTTCATATCGACCTCCTCTACAACTTAGCCTGTCCACTTTCACCAAAAAAAAAGTTGACCGGGCCGGTAACATATATTAATAAATTTTTTTCATTATCTTAATAAAACTTAATATTTTTTCTAATAACTTATTGTTTATATACAATATGTTTAATATAGATGTGATACTTTAGAGACTTAACCGCAGGTAATATCTTATCGTTCTCTTATCTGAAAAATGTTTTACCTTCGCTAGACAATGCGATTGATTAAACGATATCGCCTCCAATCGAATCGTTGACCGTAGCTGTCTGTTTCTCGTTGCAAGCCATAAATAAGATTGTCGGGCGTTCGCCAGACACTGTGGAGGCACTTCTCCACCGTCAGATAAGTCTGATAGATGCACCTCGGTGATTCTCTTTGCGAATATAACTCGAGTACTCTCGCGTGATTCCACGAAATTTAACGCCCGCGGCGTGGTATATTATTCCGATCCGTAACAATTTGCAACATTGCCTCATTTAAGCGGGAATGACGAATTCGCCGGACGGACTCCCGTCAAAGAGAGAGGTTTTCTAATAACGGACGACATGCACCCCGACAACGATTCTGATAAAGACTCCATTGTGGATTCTACGCTAATAATTTACCTTTGTGTGTATATCACAGACTCGCGCGACGTAACACACAGTTGGTTGCCGGCGCGACTCTGTGTTATCTGCCTTATCAAATGACGGGTAATTTGTCGCTTTATCTAAATGTTCAATTAATAATAATTTAATTACATTATATGTGCCGTTTCCCTTCCACTCAGCTGTCAGCCGAGTCGGATTAATGATTTGTAAGATTTAATTCTTCATAATTTATGTGTGAAAGGAAACTAATTAAGGAAGAATTCTATCTATAGATCAGCAAAGTCTGCTTCAATTAATTGCATAAGCAAAGCAACGAGAAAAGAAGCGCCACACACAAACCTTTCATGACTTAAACATTGTTTTTTTTTTTTTTTGGTCTTAATCGCGTCGAGAATAACGTATCGAGACAGAAAAAAATTGATATAACAAATAAGTAATAATTTCTTGTGTACTGAGAGAGAGAGTGTGTGTGTGTGTGTGTGTATGAATATACATTAACATATCACTATTAATTAAATAAAGAAAAGTATAACAGCGGACGTTACACGAGATGTAATAGAGGACAAAACAGGAATAGCTTAAAACAACCAATAGAGTAATGTCCTTTCCTGTTTCTTACAGCAGGCTGCTTATCAGAACCAAATTGGCGCCTTCTTTGCCATGCTAATGCTGCCGAGTAGCTTGATACTCGAGAAATCGATATGTTACGCACTGTAACAGGGACGCAACCTCCCGTTTAAGCACGGCTCTCTAAATTTCTCGAGAACTCTGTTCAATTAAAGAAACTAAATAAAAGGTAAAACAAGTTTTAATAATTTTAATTTTTATATTTAAAAAGAAAACATTGATTAATAGACTACAAAGTTTTATATTCTAAATTTATATAATATATAATATGTATAATTTAATGTATGTGTGATGTAATGAAGAAATTTTATTTAGCGCATGTTACGCGCTTCACACATACCGATCGTAAATCACGTTAAGAAAAATTTCTCAGCTTTAATACGCATCACTAACTTTGCACATAAATTATTATATGTATCATTAAGTATATTCGTATTTATATACGCAAATAACACGCTTGCCACAATTAAGCACAACCTGGAAATGAGATAAAAATCGGTGGTGTGAAATTAGTCAACTTGGGCGTTAAGATGTAAATTATGCAAATTAGTCTACTCTGAAGAACATGTTTACGTGTTACGTGACGCCGGATCCATCGTTGCATGTTGTGAAGCTTCATAAAATTCTTTCTCGTAAATTGATAAGTTATGATCAGACTTTATTTTGCAATTTAAATAGATTATATTACAGTGTTTTTCTTTATTTCTTTTTTAAGTAAAAAGTTTGTTTTAATCCGCGCGACTGACGCGATATTACTTGCACTATATACGTATATAAAAAGACAATTTATTTATAGGCTTATCAGTATTATTTTATCTCATATAATATCAGCTTGTAGAATAAATATGTACGTCGTCACGCAAACAATTAATTTAATGCGACGATAAGAAAGACGAGTCAATACAAACATTGACAAACTTTTCAATAAAAATGCTATATAAATATGTAGCTTATATATACATATATATATATATATATATATATTGGAGTCTCAGCCATCGACAGTACTAGATCCGCCCCTGAGGAGGATGCATCACGTCGTTCCACGAGAGCGAACTGCATCCTCTCGACGAATGAGAGTAGCTGCTTACGAATTAGCGAGCGCAGCAAGTCCCGGCTAACTTGCAGGGTGTACCTAAGCGGAGGCCTTAAGGATACTAACGAGCGCGTGGACGCGCTCGTTAAGGCGGGAATGCAGGGTAGTCCGCGTTAACGAAATTTACGAAGCCGGCAGCCGGTAACGAGTTCGAGGTTGGAGTACATGTTGCGAGCGAGAGAGAATATCGCCGAGACTCCTTAATCCCGCGATCGCAGCTGTTAACCGGCGTCTTTTTTCCGCCATTACACGCTCTATACGCTCCGATGTAACTACCACGTTCGCATTTTTTTACCTCGTCCGAATATATATATATATCGTCAATTTTATCTGAATTACGACACATACACCCGATCATCGCTCAACGATGATACGTTTTTAAACGCTCGTGCTTCGAAAACATTGAGAAGAGAGAAAATTTGAAATATTACAAAAGATAAAATAAAGAAGATTGATGCAGACGTTCGAGTGTACGTTACGTACCACGTGCAATCTGTCAAATTCGTGTATCTTATACATTACGATAAAAGATGTAATATCGATGCGCGCTGAAGGTAAAGAAAAAAACGAAAATTTCGTTCCACGACAAGATTAACAATACTTTTTGTAATTTTTGTATAGAACAAAGAATGTAGTAGTGTAAACCACAAATCGTAATTATGTGCATGAGAAAAAGTTTTACCCATCAAAGACTCTGCAATTCTCAAAGACTCTCATTCTTGAAAAGTACACCGGATTTGCATTCATGAAGTGTTAATGTGTTGCTGACAATATGTTATTATATTATCGTGGCTCTTTGATGGCTGCGAGTTTATGTGTCAGTTTTGCGGTGGATTTCTGTTTGAGCGCGTCACTTGAAAAACGTCACGCATCGCAACACATTGAAACGTAAAGCCGCAAATGACGGCTAATAAAACAATATATAAAAGAGAACGGAAAGAGAACGTTCCTTAAAAAAAAAAAAAAAAAAATGTATCTGCAGGAAAAAATTGAATTTATTTGAATGATTCTGTCCTTCCTCTCGTGTATCTTCAGTCATTTACTCTAACCGCGGTTTTATTTTATAAAAATATTTTTATAAAATCTAAATTGATCACGTAGACAAACCTGCTTTACAGAATGACAGGATTATTGCTCTGACGTGCGAGATTTGCAGCATCAGAATTTAGAAGCCGATGACTTTTTGTTTCTTACTCACAATGTTTCACCCTTATCCGTATGAAGATCGACTTATAATGAGCTATAACGATCGCCTCGGGATCATGTTGACGCCAGTCCGAGCTCCTCCGCTGTTCGAGCGAAAAATGAATACATGATTCACGAGCCGCATGCACGCCATCCTTCTCGAAAGAGAAAGAAAGCATCACAAACTTTGATAGTCGAGCAATTCTATCACTAGCAATGATTCGTCGTTCTTTGTCGTTGCATTTCCATGTCACGCAAAGTTGTTCTCTTAACTACTCTCGTTTTTTTGCGATAATGACACGACGAATGTTTCACACCCAGAGTTTTTTTCAAATCCAAAGTCCGCAATACAGAAGTAACTTTTGAAAAGTATCACTTAATCTCGTGTCGCAATAAATACATTTAGTAAAATAATACAAGAGATGAGACAAACGGAAAGAGCAGTCGATAAAATTGGAGCAAATTCAAATCTAAAGCGAGAAATGCTCGTTTAAACAAAAAGACAGATGTAATAAGATTATTCGAGTTAAACGTACTCGAGACTAAACGTTAGATCGCATATGAGAAGAAATGAGAAAAACTATGCGAAATGTGCCTTCTATGCGAAGACGAACAGACGGAACGAAGAAAATAATGAGAAGAGCAACCGGCGAACTGAATGCGGATATATAAGCAATGGTGGGGGAACAAGCGAGAGAGACAGATATCGACAACAAAACGAGGCGACGAGGATGGAGTAGCATAGGCCGCGAGCTGGATCATCTAACTGAGCAGATACAGGACTCGGAAGAAACACGGAGTACGCACCGGGACGGAATAAAGTCCGCGCGAAAGAGAGCGAGACGGCTGCAGCCACCTTGATGGACTCTACACCCAGCAACGCCGGTGAAGATCAACCGAGTGAGGCGAAAACAACGGAGAAGGATAGTTTCCCGAGTAAAGCATGAGAGGGGAGGACGCCTCGTTACGATAAGAAGCGGGGATGTAGCGAGCACCAATCAAACGAATCTGTGCGGCATCGCTGACTGGAGTGAGGGAGGAGTGGGCGTTCCAGAGCAGCGAGTTCGCTCGTCAACCGCCAGATGTCGAGCAACGCGTCCCTCACCAACGTCCTCATCCCTTCAGAGTTACCGCGGAGGCGTGCACGCGTACGCGTTTACGCCCAGAAACGCCCCTCGCTGGCCCTCCCGCCGTTTCCTTGTCGCAGACGTTCCGCGGCAACCAACTGAACAACCAGGTCCGGTCTGGTTTTACGGCGTCGCACAACAGCTCCGACAAGAAACCCGCGTCTACCAGCATCGCACAGGACTCGACGTTTTACCGGTACGATCCACTCGGAGCAAGACACTGACGTTCTTATCTTCGTGGCGACCGGTATTTTCGTGCTGGCTGTGGACTAGTTCGTAGAGACGCGCGTCTGGATATACTACTATCACAATGAAGATGTCAGTGATCCTTGCATGGCTTTCACCGAACGTTTAATCAGTCGAGAATTCAAGAATATGTGAGAGTGCGTCGTGTTAGGATAATACAAAGAGAACTTCGACGAAATATATTTTATGGACAATGACGGGACATTCTCCAGTTAAATACACAAGAGTTCTAACTGAAGATTATTTGTTCCATAGATGAAGTATTATATTACTTCAAGTAGTATGTAATGTAACATTGCCACAGTCATCGAAAAACATAAATCGAGAAGAAAAATATTTTGGAGTATCAATATGCCAACAGTTAGCTTGTAAACAGTTTGCAATCTATCCGTCGGAATGAAACAAAGTGACATCACAGTTTAATTAGTGGCAGATTTGCTTGCAAGACATCAGAATTGTTGTCAGAAACGTGAAATTAAAAAGAAAAGTTAAGTTAAACGAAAAGCTTATCCTGAATTGTTACTTTTCAATCTTATTAGTTAATCATGTACGTCAAAAAAAATCGTGAATTTCGAGTAGAAAGTGTTAATGAAAAATTTTAAGAGGATCATGCCGTCCATCAATACTACTTGGATCACTTCTGTAAGGTAAATCCTTTAAAATGATATTTTATATTGAAAAGAAAGGTACGATAAAATTGAAAAAACGCGCACGTGTTGGAGAGAAGAGATCACCATGAAAACACGACCTACGAGGATACTATTGTGATCAGGTTAAGAAATCCAAGCTTATCCTTGTGCGAGGTGGGTGTTTTCTCAGAAAACAATGTCGTGTACAACCACGGAATCACCAATGGTCTTAGACTCGTCGGATCCCGAGGTCAGATCGAACCACCTAATTCAGCGACTGGATCAGGATGGGGAAGATGCGGAGAAACGGGACCAGGCGCGAGGAATGGAATGCAACAATGCGGATAGCGATTGCGAAAGCGACACGAGCGAGGTGTTGAGCGTTGGTAGTGAACCAACGCCAACTAGCGTAGTCGGGGTGCGCGTATGTGGTTCTATGAGGTATGATCACGAGTCTGCAAGCAGTCGAGGTGAGTTTCGTGACGAGGAGAACACGAGAACATCGGCGACATCCTCGCCATCCAGCTCTACCAGCTGCAACGACTTGTATTATCAACGTACGTCTGCTCATCATGTCTCTGTACCAAGTCCACCCGGCTATAGCCAACCACCGTCGTCTCCTACGGCGTCTTCCGTCAGATCACCGGCTTCCTCTTCGGCCACCGCATCGTCCCCAGGTCGGCCGGAGGCTATTCAAGAGGCTATCGTACCCAGGTATCAATCCAGTCATCAGCAACATCTCTTACCCCGATATTCCTCTAGGGAACCCGAGATTCCCGATTATCCAGCGCGAGTTCAACACGGCCTAGGTCACGAAATCGTTTATCCTACTGTTGAGAGGTTACATCGTACACCTATAAGCGTTCCTCTAGTGACGAGACTTTCCTTGTCACCGCCGTCGGCCATGACGGTTACCGGACTTCAAGCAACAACTCCTGTTCTTCATCCCGCTGCGTGCAGAGATCCGCGAGAGACTGCCTCATTGTTGCCGCACCACAGCCAGCATCTGCATCACGCGAACGCCCACACGCATCTGCATCAAGGCTCGCAGGTGCAGCATATACCGGCGAATTCGGTGCACCAGCATCGACTCTCGGTCAGCAAGCTCCTACAACGAGATTCCGGAAGCCCGGTGTCGCCTGGCATCAGGGAAGAGAACGGACGTACCTTGCCTGTCGTAAACGGCGTGCAAAACAACATGAACAATAATAGCAATCATCACAACAGTCATAACAACAACAACAACAACAACAATAACAACAATTTGCAACACCAGGCAGGTCTGAAGTTTAGTATAGACAATATCTTAAAGGCGGATTTTGGCAGAAGAATCACGGATCCTATTTCGCTGAAAAAGTCGCGGCCTAAGAAAGTAACTTCAAGGCCAATTGACCTGACGAAAGACTTTTTAGAGTCGTCTTCCGATACTTCCGAAAGAAACAACTCGGAGACGACAACCACCAACACCTCACCCACTAGCGTTTCATCTGGAAATTCAACGTCCAATTCGACTGCATTAACCGGGACCGATCCTGGAAAGATGTTGTGGCCAGCGTGGGTCTACTGCACTAGATATTCGGACAGGCCTTCCTCAGGTAAGTTATTATTACACATATTACTTAAACGCTTATTTGTGATAGGTGCTCCTCTATTTACACGTTGAGCAACATATTTAGGTATATTTGTATCATAAGATAATTTAACATACAATAATTTAATCAAGTCACATATAAAATAGTGTTTAATCTTATGTCATATAACGCAACAATAATTAAAAACTATTTATTTGACATTTTATTTCCTTATTTAAACATATTATTACAATGTGCAATAATTAACAGAATTTAGTAATAATTTCATAAAATCGACGTAACAACGACGAAATTTCGATTTATCATACAACACGTACAGTGATTTATGTTGTTGTTGAAAAACACGCCGAACACTCCCATTATCGTCTCATAAAAATGCCATGTATTTTGTAAAAGAGATTTATACTTTTTTGAGATATAGCGATAATGTATAGTTCAATATTCGTAAAGACATACTACGAAACATTTTAAGTGGCAAAACAAGTTTTATACGCATTTATTGTTGGGAAGCGGAATTGCTTAATAGAACCTCGTGAATAGAACCTCTCATTAGAAGCATATAATGGCTTTTAAACACCGAATGTATAAATTTCTTAGTCAGAGAAGGAATATTTCGCACTGGGAGAAAATGTTTCTCGCCCATTGTGCGAGAGACTGTTTTGTTAAAAGGCTGCAATTTACTACTGTCACGATTACTGTGTAATACACGCCAATATATATTCATGAAATCGATAGCCACATTTCTTAAATAATAATTAATTAGGGAGAAGGCAATGTGTGTAGCACACACACACACACACACACATGTAACACGTCGGCGGCAACACACTTGTGTGCTTTTTTGTATAGACGAATCGTGCAACTGTGCAAATATATATAAACGTGTGTGAAAGCGCGAGAGAATAATCTCTCGTAATTTATAGCATCAAACAGTATCGCGACGTTGTAAAAATATGAATTATTCTTGCAAAATATACAGTAAATAAGTTACGATCGGTATCAGTCTTATAATTTTGCCATTTAAACCAATAAAAAACGTACATTTATTATTGAAACACAACTGATTATCATCGTGTCTAAAAATACAATCACACAATAAACGATTTACGTGCGATATGCAAATTTATTTTGTAGTTTTTAACATCGCGACGTATCACAAGTATATATATAAAAAAAAAAAAAAAAAAAATGTGGCGATGTTATTTCGAAAGTCGCATAATGTATTAAAGTACTTAAAATTATTGAACCGGATAGTTAATTATCGTCTGTTTCTTCGAAAGAAGTGTATGTCGGTGCTATTGCCGAGTTTTTGCAGCTTCGCGCAGATAGATGGTCCTTTCAAGTGACACAGGAAAACATGTAATTACTTTACTTCCCGGCCCAAGAGTGCCGGCTTGATGAATGATAGAAAACGTTTCTTCGTGTCATTCATATCTGATATACGCTTATTGTCAGGAAACAATAGTTAAGCAGTCGGAGAAATAGCCGTTCTCTGTCTCATAAATCAAGCACAGTCATTTCTCACCTGGCAGCGAGGTAACAATTTTCTAGGCGGAGCCGCGCCAAGACTCTCCGCGCGTTCTTATATGCGCAAGAAAAAAATTCAATCGATAAATTTATATAATTGAAATACATTCGCACATATATATTCGCGTTACCTTTTGTACGACATTTTATATATATGTATATGTATATCACGCGATAATGTGATTTATATCCTCGAACTTGATTCTGCGAATTGCAGGCTTGCGTTACGCACGATCGTCGAGGTGGGGCTTAAAATTTTACAGCAACAACATAGATTTCCATATTTCGCGCATTTGACACGCGTCGTTTTTTTTCTTTTCAAGCGCGCAAACTGCTTACCGCGTTACGTTATCTCTTCATCGTGCGAATTACGTCCTTGTAATCGTAATAACATATCGCAGTTACGTCAAGACCGTTCATTACACAAAACATCATGACGAATAGATAAACACTTAGCCGAGAGATATATTATTTGATCACCTCTATTATCTTTGCAACGAGCAATTTCGCGACACGGACAGATAAGAAGTAAACTAGTTAAAAGTCGACGACGACTATGAAATCTAATTACCGTAATTGCGCGTGCTACACTCGTGCGAGAGGAATTTCATTGATATCCTCGCGGTATACGTACGTCTATATACGATTATTCTTTTCGCACGTTCGCGCGAGTTAATATCGCAACGACTATAATAAACGCGACATTAATAGTTGCGACGAGCAATTTCTCACATGTGTCCATATCGATGGCGTTGCGATAACACGAATCTAATCGGTGACGCATTATTGTTGGTTGTTTCCACTTTACGTGAGATTTTCACGTCGCGGCAATTGAATACGCAGCAGAACCTCTTCTCTCAAGTGTTAAGTGTTTATCGACAACTGTATAACAGTGCAAGAATCGTTTCTTTCAGCCGCCATCATAAACACTTGACTGAAATGTTTTGCGTAAAATTTTTCCGCGTTCCAACTTTTTCTAAACATAAAATAAAAACATAGTCTCGATTGCTTGACTGAGAGCAGCATCAGCGCGATTGTAAAGGCTGCAGCTCGCATTAAGGAATACACACAGTGAACATCATACACCATTGCATTAACATGCACACGCGTTACCGTTCTAGAGCACAAATCGCGTAATCGTAACGTGGGAAAGTGGGCGACGGCGATCGATCAGGCGAGCGCGCCGCGCGTTTACGCCTTATCACTTGCCTGGTCAATGCGGAAAAGGAAAACGCGGTATGTAACAATAATAAAACCGCGAAATATTACACAATTAAAACTCATAATGCGGCGAACGATCGTTTGCGATCTCGAACGGACGCCGAACGTTACACATTGGCGTTTTCGAGGCGCGGCGGCAAACGCGGCGAGGCGCAATATAAAGCCGACCGTATCGCGCGTTAAAATCCATTTACGGAAAGTTATGGCTAATTAGTTTCCACGACCGGTGTGTGCAACGGGCGATTTCCCGTTAACGAGACTCGAATTGGTGCCACAGGGCACTTCGGAAAAGGACGGGCTTGTATAGTTCTCGCGCGAGCGCGTATCTCACGCGCGGATGAGAATGTGGACAATTTCACATGAAAACGTTTTATTAGCAATATCTAGACGAGTATTGTCGCGCGATCGCACGCGATGAGCCTCAACTCATCATTTCCTCCGCATGAACGCACGCAAATGTAACAGCGAGATTAAGGAATTATCATGTATAATTAACATTCGACAGACATTAATTTAATATTGTGCCATTTCGCGCCAAACCTAATCAATCTAATCGCATATAATGAAAGCAATTATTTGGCGAATTTGCGCGTTTAAAAAAAAAAAAACAGACGAGCGAGTCACACAGTATGGCCGTGATTATCAGGCAGCGAATAGAATTTAACACGGTGTTGCACAATTAAAGGGGCGATTATCGACGATTATTGGTTCGACAAAAAAAAAAGGAACGCGCATTACACAGCGATATATCAAGCCTTAAATGTTCGCGGCGAAATAAAGAGGCATTAATTCGCAAACCTGATTTTGCGGACTTGATTTTTTGCCTCTCTCTCTCTCTCTCTCTCTCTCTCTCTCTCTCTCTCTTTCTCTCTCTTTCTCTCTCTTTCTCTCTCTTTCTCTCTCTTTCTCTCTCTTCTTTACGATCGATCGAACGAAAGGATCGATACAGGTACGTACGTACGTACCTACACAATTGGCATACGTATACGACCATGCGCGCGCTTGCTTCGTATCGGGCAGTCTCGTGGGATCCATCGATCTTATTAGGGTTAAATCGAAGGTGCCTCTCGTTCCCTGCGGTTGAATACGATAGCAAATCCAGACCAGAGCCGCACGCATCGGCCGCACGTATCGGCGGCCCTGGAGGCGGTTGCAAAACCTATGAATGGCTTCCGTTCGTTCCAGATATCGTGTTTTCAGATAGGACAGCGACCGTTCTATTTTGTTCCGCTTGTCACGTGTAACAAAATGTCATTGTTTCGCACCTGTACGCTTTGCATCAAATCTTTAAGAACAAATTTCTCTTTCTATGTGTATGTGTGTGTGTAGGTGTATAATTCTAAAAGTAATTTATTTACGAATTCACCATAAAATTCCACTGTACAAATACATTTACAATATATAAGAAGAAATGTATATCTCTATCGCTGAGAGAAGCGAGGAGTTACGATTAATCTCAGATATCTGTATCGAGATAATCGTCTGTCAATTTCTTGTTGGTTAATTGCACAACAACCGCGGGGCAGTTTCCATTTAAACGAGAATGAAAAACTGATCTCTTGCAGGATCTATGTGTAAGAACGTGCGTTTGAAGATGTCTCATTATCTGTATAAAAATTCCGCCTTAAGAATTAATGACTTGAATAATCATGATTCTTGTTTGCGATTATTATTATCTGCAATCCGCCAGTTGAATCGAAGACAATAAGAAATGTGTTTACAAGAAGTAATAACTCAAAAATAATATTTTATTTTATTAGACTAATTGTGGTTTAATGTTTTTATTGGAATATTAAAATTAAATATGTGTGTGTTATGCGTATTTAAACTTAAATTATTTTTTTCATCTCTTTTTGCAGATTGCTATCTGACATGTGTTTGTTGTTGTCTCGTTACATTCGTGTATCAAGCACACACACACGTTGTCAACGTAAAATTAATTAATGAGCTGAGTCAATATTAGCAAGCTATCTCGATAGCTATGCAATAGAGAGAATCTCTTCTCTCTCTCTCTCTTTTTTTTCTCTTTCTTTCTTGACGTAGGGTTAGTATATATGTACCGCAATTAGCAGGCCGCGCGTAGACGGTGGATGGCACCGCGGGGGATCCATTTGCTGGCCCCCGGGAATGCCTCCCCTTGCCATTCAAATATCCACTGACTTATGGGCGTAACTTGGCACGAAGCGAGCTTTTACACGGTCGGCGCAAGAGATAAGCACCTTTCGCGCTGTCTACATCCACCCGTCCTCGTTTCA